TATATATATATATATATATATATATATATATATATAAAGAGAGAGAAAGATCCATTTACTTTAGGAGTAAGTCTACTTAAACTTACTCTGTTCAATAACACATGTTTTACATCAAGTCTCAATGATCCAACCGTTGAATTTAAAGTTTTTAATGCACAGATCAAGTTTGCAATTTTTTTTAAAAATTGAAAAATATTTGATACTTCATTTCATTAATTCAAATTAACGGAAAATCATAAAATCATTTTATACATTGATTTGAATTAATGAAACAAAATATCAAATGGTTTTTAATTTTTTTTAAAATTTGCAAATTTGATCTATGCATTAATAACTTTAATTTTAACGATTGGATCGTTGAAATTTGATGTAGAATATGAATTATTAAACATAGTAAGTTTTTGTAGACTTACTCTTAAAGTAAATGGATCCCTCATCTCTCTCTCACACCCACACACATACACACACACACACATATATATATATATATATGTGTGTGTGTGTGTATGTGTGTGTTGTTTTTTCCTAACTTACCCTTGCACATTTTAATGTGGTTTGGACTGTGATGATCATATGTGGTATTAGAGTAGGGTAAGGATAGGGCTAAAGTGTTGTTGTGGACGCCATATAGTGGCATTAGTGCTAGATGTTTTGTTGACTACCTATTGTTGGTGGATTTTTGTGTAGATAGTTATATTTGTTTGATTAACAACTTATTTGTACATACATACATACATACATACATACATACATACATACATACATACATACATACATACATACATACATACACACATATGCATGATTACGGTATGCAATGTTGTACTTATTTTAGTATATGATTTTAAATTAGTTGTTGTGTCATTTAGCTTAGGAACTATGGTGGATTGTTACACATTTCAATTTAAATTAATTGATAGTACTAATATAGATTTTAATACAGAATTAAAAAAAACTATAATCAATGTAATTTTTAGGATTTGAACATTCGAATTGATAATAAAAATATACATACCGATTCAAATTAATCGATAGTCCTAATATATATTATAATACTTAATTATTATAATCACGAAAATTATGACTAATGTAGTTTTTATAATTTGAACATTCAAGCTAACAATATAATATATGTATATAGCAATAAAATTTAAATATATTTTTAATTTAAATTTAACAAATTTATTTTTAATTTCTTAAATTTAAAATTAATTTTTTAGTTTCTATAATTTTTATAAAAATATTTCAATCCTTATACTTAATTATCAAATATTGTCATACAAAATCTATTAATAAAAATATAATATTAAACTAGTTAATGTTGCATAACTATATCAATTTTCACTATCATATACACTATTGGTTACTAAAAAAATTAAAATTAAAATTTGAAAAATTACATGACTAAAAAAATGCTTTTAAATTTTAGAACAAAAATAAATTATTATAAATTTGAGGGACTAAAATTATATTTAAGCTTGTATATAATATGAAGAGGAATTCATTTACTCCTAGACTAAGTCTATCTAGACTTACTTTACTCAATAATTCATGTTTTATATTAAATTTTAATGATCCAAATGTTAAATTAAATTTTTTTAATGCATAGATAAAATTTACAAACTTAAAAAAAAATATTTGATATTCTATTTCATTAATTTAAATTGACAAAAACTCATAAAAATATTTTACACATTAATTTAAATTTATATAACAAAGTATCAAATAATTTTCAAATTTTTAGTAAAATTTTCCAATTTAATTTATATATTAAAAAATTATTTAATGATTTAATTGTTAAAACTTAATATAAAATATAAATATTAAATGAATAAAGTTTAAGTACACTTCCTTCTATAAACCTAATAGGATTTTTGTCGTATAATATATATTTTGTAATTTGAACATATTAATAGGATTTTTGTCGTATAATATATATTTTGTAATTTGAACATTCAAATTATGTGTTTCTATTATTCGCATGACCATAAAATAATGTATTATATTTTTTTACGTGCATGAACAACAATACAAATTGGGCTGCAAGAATGTATGGCATTGAATTTTGTGCAATGAAATAGAACATTTGGAAGAAGAAAAAAAAACCTGAGCCATGTGGCTTACGAATTTGTGGTTTTAAGAAAAGAATAAGGAATTTTTCATTGTATTCTTCAGACAGGCTAAAGTTATTAGATTAGTGTGTATAAATTATTGTCAATTTTTCACATGAAAATGTAAGTTTGTGTTGTTATGTAAATCAAAGGTTTAGTTGTAAAGGGACTATTAATAATTTTAGTAGAGTAAATACCAGACTATTTTATTTTCTAATTTGTTATATTTTTTCATGCCACTTATCTTTTTGTCATCAAATGATTGTATGTGCGGTAATGTATCCTAGAGATGAAAATAATCTTTTGTGTCTAATATTTATTTTTAACTACTTTTTTACATTTAACTATAAGTTTTGGTTAAAAAATGATAATTGTCAAATATGTATACAATTTTTATTTAATTTAGATAATTATTAATATATATTATACTTATAAATCTTTTTTATCACAAAATACTTAGTCAAGAGTTAATTTTATTTTAGAATTTAATTGTTTAAACATTAACTATTTTAATAGTTTTATTTGTTAAATTATAATGCAAGGCGAAAATAAATTGGAAGTTACAAATTGAAAAGAGGAAACTATCGCTCCAAGCTACATAGAAAAATCACTTTGAATTAGTGAAATTCATTTAGAGCAACCAAATTAAAGTTTTAAATGAGGCAAAACAGAGAGTATATTGGAGCACACATAAGCTCACTCAAAGCGAGTCACTCTAAGTGAGTATGTTTGACCTAAAAATCCATTAGAAAAAATTATAAAAATAAGGTTTCTAGGAGGTCTATGTATCATTAAAGAGAATTCGTATGATGTTACTCTTGTAATACAAATTGTTTAAAAGTCTCTCTTCTATTATATAATCATTAGTCATAAGTGAATAAGTCTTTGCCGATGAGATTGAGGTAATTATTGAAATTATATAATTTTCTCAATGGTTTTCATTCAATGAAGTTGTTATTTAGTTAATCATTTTCTTCTTGTACTTTAATGCTTGTTGTGACTTGATTAACCTATGCATGATTTTTATAAATTTTTTTATTGAGATTAGGAAACCCTTTTTAAAATTATAACATAAATAAAACGATATGATAACATTTATTATTAAGGAATTAGGATAAACTTTATGAGTCAACTTTTCATCTGTGATCTTAATACATGTTTGTTTAACCAAAATTATCAAGAAATTGAGATTTTCCTTAAACAACCTAAAATTTATCTCCTAAAAATTAATGTTTAAATATAATAATGTGATGTAGAATTAACTGTATAATTTCAACATTGAATTGAAAATTAAGAAATTCTACATAGAAAAAGTTAGTGAATCAATCTTTGATTCTTCTTCTTATTATTATTTTTATTATCTAAATTCAAATTCTTCATTGCTCTATTACATGTTTTTTAATTATAATTTTATAATTTTATAAATTTCTTATATTTCATGTTCAACAATTTTAAAGTTTTTTAATCCACTTGTTTATTGTCAAAATTAAATTAAACAATTATAACTCAAATTTATGTGAATTCAATAATTTAAATTTTTTTATCCAATTTATTACTTATGAGAATTAATTAAAAGGTTTGAGGCATAATATGTTAAACTACCATACAATCATCTTAGTCATCTTTGTTTTCATATTACTAACATGTACTACATCTTCCATCACTTTGTTTTAATTTTTGCACGTCCTCCTTCTTTATTATATTTTGACTCAATTGTTTGCAATTCTCAAAATTTTGCCATTAACAAGAAAATGTAGGATAAAAAAAAGTGGTAAGTTAATTGATTGATTTATTTATTTTTATTATTTATTTTTCTATTAGATATTTTTACTTATCTTCTTATTTATTCATCCAAGCACACATGTTGTGACACTTTTACTTATCCAAATACTCTTTACTTCAAAGTGTTTTTTGTGATTATTTTCTTTTATTGCATATTTATAACATAAATACAACTCAAGTATAATTAATACAAATACTCCTTTGGATAAGAGGTTTACATCACTTACTTTTTTTAAAATAAAATTTTAACAAAATAAAAACAAAATAAGTAGATGAAAATACATTCCAAAGACTTATACAAATGAGTTTCAAAATTAAAAATAAACCATTAATTTAAATAAAAAAGAAATTTGAAAACAACTAAAAAAAAAAGTCTTTTCCATACCCCAATGTCACGTGTACAAGAACATAAACCTAAAATGTACAAGAAACTTAAACTTTATTTCTCACATAATTTTTAACATTTGCATGAACCTTACCTCCAAATGACATCCAACCAAAACAAAACACAACATGAAGAGAACAAACATAGGAAGTGAAAATTGTCTCACAACTTGATTTTGCATGAAAAAAAAGTTGGTCAATATCTAAACATATATCATAAAAAGGGAAAGATCAAATTATATCGATATAACTTTTACAACTTTTATATCGTTTAATAACTTTATATAAAAAGTGAATTTGTTAATTCAACATTAAATTCAAAAGTTACTTCTACCTAGATCATATATGCAAAAAAAGATACTAATATAAAATTATTTAATATTTTATTCATATAAATGAAAATTATCACAATATATACTCTTCAAAATATAATAAAATATAAATAATTTAGTTATCTTTTTTTATTTTTATTTAATTTGAACAAAATTTAATATAAACATTCAATAAAATATAATGTTATAATTAAATATTTAAATCAATAAAATTTACATTTTTATATAAATTATTAAATAATATAATAATTATAAAATTTATATCGATGTAATTTAATATAAATATACATACACCTATAACTTTAGTTTATATCACACTTCTCAAATCACGTATCAAAAGATTCTTATACTTTTACTCTTTATATATATGGTAACGATTTGTTCAATGAACAAATCTAAAAACTTATGACATAAAAGTACATAAAAATCAATCAATCATTATATTATAGGTATCAATTATCTCTGCTTTTATCTAGTCAAATATTCAATAGGATCGGTCATAATTATATAGTTGTGTGTATCTACTTCATCCTCAATACATTGATGGTAATATCCAACATACAAAATTCCTAAGGTCATGGATGATTATGAACTTACTCTAATTATAATAAAAATTTATATATAAAATAATTTCTAAATAGTTATTTTTAAATAATAATATATGAGAATTATGGGTGTTACACTTACGTGGTGTTAAGACGTTGATGTAAATGAAATTGTTTTTGGTACGAATTTAAGTTTATGCCCACGGACTTCCCGCTTCTCCCGCACCTCCTGCATGTCTGAATCATCCTCCCCTTCCAACCTTCGACTTTCGACTTTCTACTCAAACCTCAAACGCAACAAAAACCTAACCCCTTTCCTCAAACTTTTTGCATCAATTCCCTTCGGATCCGTAAGTTCTTCCCTCTCGCTTTCCCCTCGTGTTTTCTTATGATTGCTGTTAACTTTTTTGACTCATGAATTTACTCATTCTAGGTTTCCGTATTGTTATAATCTTTTTCTATATAACTCTTTGGCATTTTTTTTCCGCCTGTTATATGGTCAGAAACCTGTATTCCGAGTTCTGATGTCGAAATTCCCGTATAGAATTAATTAGGTATTATTTTTGCACAACTTCTGGTTCTGTTTGTAAATTCCTAGCCCCTTGTAGTCATGTCATAGGTAAAATGAATCAGGGACTTAATTAGGAAAGTCAATCGTGGAAGTGAAGACAATTTTGGAATTTTGTAATAAAATGGGAAATTTGTTACTCTTGCAGTAATTTTATTTTATTTTATTTTATTTATTTATGTTCAACTTACTAGCTCTAACTTTTTGACTCTTAATTTGGTGTAACTTCCAGGTATGCTTTGGGTTATCGTTTGAGTATGGCACACTTATCATTGGTTTAGATAGGGAGACAACAGTGTCTTTAGTTTATGTGTTGTCTAAGTTTGTTGCGGTACCTACATTATATAGCACGTGGAAAATGTGATTCTTGGTTGCATGAACTAGCATACTACCTCTAGGCTGCATTCACCATGGAAAAGACAGAGCTAGTGGAGGCAAATAAGGCAAGTCCTCCGGCTGTTGGAGAGGTAAAAGGAGATTTTTTTACTGCTCGGAGTGAAGAAGATTGGGAAAAACACTCGGTGTGTCTGGAAACCCAAAATGTAGACTGCGATGGCACTGAGTTTGTTAACGATCAAGATGATGTATTGGACAATGTAACTTCTCAAGCTGTTGAAAATCTGGAAGGAGGTGCTTTTACCGTTCAGAGTGAAGATCATGACAAGGAATCCAAAGAGGAGAAAATTCAAAATACTGGTCATGATGGCCGCAAGTTTGACAATGAGCAAGAAAATATGTTAGACAAGATAGATGAGGTGGTAGATGTAGATTTGAGTAGTCATGAGGAAACAAAGGACAATGTGACAGAAGAGTCTCAGTTGGCTCGGAGAGTATGCGATAGTTGTGATTTGCAGTGTGGATCTCCACAAGAAAACTTGGAGATCAGTACTGTTCCAGGTGACTGGTTTCAAATGGAGCATGGGAGTGATTCAATGAAATCTGAAAATCAAGTTGATATTCTTGGACAAGAGAATTCTGGTGTTAAGGTAGACAACAGTGGAGATTTTGAGCCTAAAAGTCAAGAAGTAAGTCTAGATAGTAATTTCGAACACCATGGCTTGGCTATAGAGGAGGATGACAGTAGAAGCATGGAATCTGCACAAATGAATCAAAAGAAAGAGAAAACTTCAGAGGATAATAATTTGGAGCCTGTAGTTGGTGGATCTGAGGTTCATAGCAGTGAAGCTGGCTGCAGCACATCTATGCGTGCTTTGGATACCAATCCAGAGGCTCCACGTGTTGTTGATAAGGCTATTTCTCTTAGAAACTTTGTGAGGGAGAAAAGTATAATAGCAGTCTCCATTGTACTGCGTCACCTGTCTGGAAAAAGAGATGAATGTACTGTGAGTAATTCTGGTGATGTAGGTAACGATGCTTCAGATCTTTCAAGAGACAGTGAAACCAAAGAGGTTTCTGAGAAGACAGTGGAGAAAACAACTTGGAATCCCTTAAATTATATTAAAATGTCATCTGATGTTGATGCTGAAAATAAAACTGTCCTGACGGAGGTACCTATGACTGAAGGTCCACCAGTACCCATAGCTATGAAAGGAAGGGTTATATTGTACACAAGACTAGGGTGCCAAGAATGTAAAGAGGTTAGGAAGCTTTTGTATATGAAAAGGCTTAGATATGCGGAAATCAACATTGATGTGTATCCCAGTAGAAAGATGGAACTGGAGAAGAATTCTGGATCTACTTCTGTTCCCAAGGTTTTCTTCAATGAAATACTTATTGGAGGCTTGAGTTCGCTAAAGTCCTTAAATGAGTCTGGCAAGCTAAATGAGAAGATTGACTACCTTATTAATGAAGCACCATCATTTGAATGCCCAGTTCCACCACTTTCTGGAGAGGATGATGCATCCAGTAGGGGAGCACTTGATGAAATGGCTCTAATTGTCCGCAAAATGAAAGAATGTATTGTTGTGAAGGACCGATTTTGCAAAATGCGAAGGTTTCCTAACTGCTTTCTTGGCTCTGAAGCTGTGGACTTCTTGTCAGAAGATCAATATTTGGAAAGGAAAGAGGTAAGCTTGACCTCAAGTTTCAAACACTTTCTAGTGCATGTTAACAACCAATGTATATGCCCTCAAGTGTAATCATTTGCTGCATATGTAGAATTTGATTGCCTCAAACAAGAGTAGTGATGCAATTAGCGCTCTAGAAGGCTTGTCCTTTTGTGTGGTGTCTCATAATTTAATGCTTTATTATTAAGTTGAATGCGATCAATGTTTGAGAAACGAGAATCTAATTGATCTTGATTTCTTTTGATCACAGAAAATATGAAGACCGTGGTCTAGTTTAATGTCTGTTTAACTTGTAGGGCCATGGGATTGTAATTCCTATTCTAGAAATGGTACTTGTACAACAAATTGCATGACAATTTGTACAATTAAGAGAGAAATTTCAGATGTAATAAATGATGCGGTGGAGAGAGATAGACAAAAAAAATGTTGTACAAATGGTTGTATGAATTGTTATATGTATATCACTACCTGTTATTAATGTCTTTATTAACATATCACTAAGTATTTGGCAGTTTTGTTTTGAAGATATCATTTGGATTAAATTAAAAATTTGTTCTTCAGATTTGACATCATTTTTCTTTCTAATTCCTATATGAAATAATTCTCTACATTTTAATTCGTACATGAAAAATGTTTATGGATTGATCCTTGCCATAGCCGTTTGCTAAAGTTGTAGTGCTATTAGATTAGCCTCTATATTTGACATTATTTATTCTTTTAGTTCCTATGTGAAAATTGTACAGTTCATTTTTGTTTTCTGCATAAAAAAAAATTCTAGATTTTCATACCTTCACTTTACTACACTTTACATATCATATTTTGTTTTGGTCCTTTTATGAAAAAGAAATCTATCATCATGTAACTTTAATAAGTGGCAGGGACTAATTTGTAAACAGTTTTCCATATAGGGATCAAATTATAGTTTTTTTTTCTTTCACGAAGAGACTAAAATGAAACAGTCTCAAATATAGGGACTAAATTTATCATTTATCCTTTTTATCAGATGATGGCTTTCAGGTCTGGGTTGTTTTTCTATCCTTTCATCCTTTTTTCTTTTTTCATTCTTTTCCCACCATGGCTTGTTACTATTGCAAACAAAAGACAAAATATATGTCTCCCTGTCTATAAGTTTTCTTTATAGATGAAGATTATATAATTTGGGGACTTGATTGATTTTTCGTGGTCTATACTTTGTTTGAGGCAACTACCTTATTGCACATGTTGATTCTGTTTTCTTTTATAGTTTTTCTCTTTTATGTGTTTAATCTTTCAGGTTGTAGCAATGGCTTTTAATAGTTGATTTCTGCTTCTATGATTTTTGTGGTTTATTTAACATATTTCTAGTTTGAATTGACTGGCAATCCACCTTTATCCAAAATAAGAGATAAAAAAAAAGCTTATTTTCTTGAACTTTGCTAATTCTTTTGGTGGCATGCTTTTTTATATTTGCTTCATTCCATGTTGGGATTGGAAGGGGAGATATTTTTTTAAGGTTAAAAACAAAGTTAATTTGTACTTTGAGTCTGTGCTGTAGTGACACTGCTTTGTTGTGAACATTAACTGATGCACTTAATCTCTGTAACCCATACGCACTCATAAGCATGTTTATCTACATTAATATTTTCTTAAAATTGAACAAACTATTGGGGTGAGTGTTTGAGACTTTTGAAACCTAATGTTAATGAAATTGATGTAATGCAACAATAAAGTTGTCATTTGATTGATGTGTCTACAATGTTAGTTAGAGTTGCAAATGCATTATGGTTTGTTCGATCCTATCAACGAATTTAACTTCTAATATTTGTGATATGTATCTTGTTCAAAAGCTTTTTCTGGTGCACCTGTTTGTTTTTGAAATTTTAGTCTTCTTACATTTACAATCACATGATCAAACATATCATCCACTGTTTATCCAACTCATTTAATTCAATTTCTATCTTCAGAATGTCTTTTCTATCTTCCTTATTCTTGTCTGATGGTATAGGCTGTTGAGTTTGCACGAAAACTTGCCAGCAAACTCTTCTTTCAGCATGTTCTTGAGTGAGTCCAAGTACTCCATTTGGTTTTTCCACTTTCCATTTTTTTTAAAACAAAACTGAAAATTCTTACCTGTTTCAACGGTTTTGTTTTGCTTTAGTGAGAATCTATTTGAGGATGGCAATCACCTGTATCGGTTTTTGGATGATGATCCAATTGTGGCATCTTTTTGTTATAACATTCCGAGAGGGATAATTACTGTGAAACTTAAGCCTATAACAGAAGTTGCATCCAGGCTGAGGCTTTTGTCCTATGCAATGTTTGAAGCCTATGCCTCTGAAGATGGACGTCATGTTGACTACAGAAGTATGCATGGAAGTGAGGAGTTTGCAAGGTTTTTTTATTCTGTCTTTTGGTTTACTTTAAAACTCAGAAGTGCTATTTAATAACGAAAATCCATTTAGTTGTTAGTAGAATTTTACACTTATTTATACAACACTTGTTTTAGGTATCTAAGAATAGTAGAAGAGCTCCAAAGAGGGGAAATATGGAATTTGTCTAGAGAAGAGAAGCTTGCTTTTTTTATTAATCTATATAATATGATGACCATCCATGCAATTTTAGTATGGGGTCACCCTTCTGGAGTGCTGGAAAGAAGGAAATTGTTTGGAGACTTTAAATATGTTATTGGTGCATCCACCTACTCACTTTCAGCTATTCAAAATGGCATTTTGAGGGGGAACCAGCGACCACCATATACCCTTATGAAGCTATTTAGTGCAAAAGATAAACGTTTAAGGGTAAGATATCCATTTTCTTTATTCATTTTTGATTCTATGTTCTTTATCCATTCAAACTTGAAAGAGAAGGTGTTCATTAATGATTAAGTTTTGCTTCCATTCCCATGGTGTTAGATTTACTTCATACTGACATCAAGACCTTTGTTTAAGTCTTTATCCATAAAAAAAGCACCTTTGTTTAAGTATTGACATAAAAGGTTCTTCAAAGTTTATGCTCTTTATTCTTTAGACCTGAACTTTTCCTTTTCTCTTAACAACTCCTATATTGGAATTTTAGTGACCTAGTAATGCGGGAGCTCTATTATATTCTGACTTCCAAGTTTTTTTTATTCTTGTAGTAAGTGTTTACATGACTAGCATGTGATTTGACTTGGGTTCAACTGCTTAAGATAATTTGCGCCTTGAAATATTGGGCTAGGTTCAATAATATGCTTATAAATCTAGCATAAATAGGGAATTCTGTTGAATTTTGAGGGACTGGAAGAGAGGGGGAAAGGAAGGAAATGCTTAAGTGAAATTGATTGATTTTAAGATACTTAGGTTATGTAGAACAACTATATATATAGACTTTATATACTGTGGGGGATTATCTCCTACTCCTAGGAAAAGTGTAAATAGGTGCTACTCCCTAAATATTAATGCCTATAAAAACTAACTGCATTTAACATGCGATGCATCACCTCATTTAACATGTGATACATGAACCGCATGTTATTCTAACAACTACTTGGCATTTTTTAGTCATCATATTATAATTTCATATTTAAGAGGTTCCTAAACCTAGAACTCCTTTTTTTTTTTAATCATTTCACTTCAACCTATCTTAATTCTCTTCCTAAATTATGTTGCTTTAGTTCCTGATTACTACCTACTACGACACTAAGTATGTGTTTAGATAAAAATCAAGTTCGGTATAACCCACGTTAACTTCAAAGTAACATCCTTGTAACTTTTGCATTTCAGGCATTGGAAAGTGGAAACAAACATTATAAAACCTTTAAACGGATAACTAAATACAGTCTTAATGTTTTTCTTTTGTTTTATTTTCTGCAAATTTGCAAAGCTTAAGCTTTATCTTTGGGTGCTTGGTCACCAAGAAGTTACCATTAGCAGAGCTACTGATTTGTTGCTTACTTTTCATTCCATTTTTTAGGTGGCCCTCCCTTTCCATGAGCCCCTTATTCATTTTGCTTTAGTATGTGGTACTCGATCTGGACCAGCACTTCGGTGCTATTCTCCTGGGGACATTGACAAAGAATTAGTGGATGCAGCCCGTAATTTCCTAAGAAGTGGAGGCCTTTCAATAGATTTTACTGCAAAGGTTGCATATGCCAGTATGATCCTTAAATGGTAGGTTCTTTCGGCCACTCTGAATATGATTGATGTGCTTATAGGTTAATTGAAAGTAAGAAATCGTTGAATATTTCATGTTCACAAACACATTTTCACATCGAGAAGGTAAACTTCTCAAAATCTATACTTGAATGCTTCAAAGTATTTAAGATTTTACATGTTGGACTGGCTGGCAGTATCCCTTGAACTATATACATTTATGTATTTATGCAAAACTTTGAATATATATACATGCATTCCCTATGGTGATTTTATTTGTATGATTATTAAATGAAATAGTTTATAATTAACGAGTAGTAGCAATTGATATTTTATTTTGAGGATTGTAAAGTTTCTCCTTATTGATACTCAGGTTTAGTGTAGATTTCGGTAAGAGTGAGGTAGAGGTCCTGAAGCATGTGTCAATTTACTTAGATCCAGCTGACTCAGAATTATTGTTGGACTTGCTTGCCACTTCTGAGTTGAAGGTGATATATCAGCCTTATGACTGGGGTTTGAACTGCTAGTGTGTGCTATAATTTTTTTGTCAATACGACGCCTGTATTCATATTAATTGATTCCTGTTATACATATTAGCATCAATGTAATCAATAGCGTATGTTAACTTCGGTGTCAATTTCATACATCTCTGTCGGAAGGTACACGATGTAGCTCTAGGTCAATAAGTCCCGAGAAAAAAATTGTTCTTATTTTGCGTCTTCTCTCTTAATGTCTACACTAACTTCTAGGTGCCATTTATTATGGAATCCAAGTTATAATGGCCCATCAAATATACTCCGCAAGTCGCATTTAAGCGTTTGACTGTGAGTGTGGGGATAGTAGGCGATGCCAAGTTGCCAACTCTTGCATTTAAATTTTTGCACCACTGTATAGTGTATACATACATGGTTCTATATTTCTGAGCTTTTGGTGGTCTTGTTCTTGCCAAGTTCAAGTAGATATATTGTTGTATGCACTTGTATTATGATGGACAAAATTTAGATACAGGACTATAGATATTGTTGGTCGTATTCTCTAATTAGAGTTGGAGTTCCATCTCTATAATATGCATTTATATTTAATACAAAACGTTTCACAAACAATATATGGTCATGTACCTAAGTATGGTGCTATTATGATTCGTGCATAACAATAGGGGTTTTATCTAGTAGTTGTACCCTCTCCGAGCTTGCCTTTTGATGTAAATAGACTACATTTACATTCAGTTCTTGTGCCTTAGAAGTTAAAAGTTGTGTGAAACACGGGACAGGATACTTGGATCGTCATATATATCGGTCATAATTGGTCTTGAAAACAACCAATTAAGTTAAGTTTATCCACAGTGCCAGGATGTCTCACGAACAAATTGAAGTGGCCAATAAGTTTTTGATTCATCATCTAGAAGTTTATATGCCCAACCCTAAACCCTAAACAAAAAACATGTACGCTTCTAGGAAAGGATTATAAAAATCGAATGGGAAAATATATTCTGCAAAAAAATTGAGGTATATGTTTACTATTTAAATCTTTTGGGTAAAGTTATGTTCCGATTAAGTATAGATGCATAGTTAGAAAACATAAAACTTGTGGTAATTATATACATTTGTTCCAAAAAAAAAAAAAAACATTTCACATAATAATGTGTTGTGATTTTTTTTTCATCGAGTCGATCTTTATAGAAGTAAAACAATACTTCCATTTACAATTTTATGTTTAAGACTGGGATCAAACTTTAGTATTTGAATAACGAGCATAAGTGTTGAATAAGAAGATTCAATCCAATTCTTTCAATTGGATTTATAATTGAAATAAGAGAAAATTAATCGTATAATGACATAATTAACTAAATATAAGATATTAAATATTTTTCTTGATAAAAAAAATTTAGACACAAAATTATAGACAAGAAAATTATTATTCTGTGTACAAGTATAGTGAAAAAAAAAATAATGATAATGTCACGTGAGGTACTAAAATAACTTCAATATTTTAAGATAAATAATTAAATTAATATACTTTTATGTTATTGAGAGACCAAATTAATATTATTTTCTTATTAATGTCTTATCCTTAAATATTTGTTTAATAGAAGTTATGTTTTGTGAGGGTAAATTAATATTTAACTGTTAATTTTAAAATATTACGTGAATTAAATTAATATCTCTTATAATTTAATTGAGGTCAACCTAATTAATTTTAACGTTTGTATACAAATTTAAAAAGTATTTTTAAGAGATTTTTTAGTCAAAAAATACTTTTTCTTTTTAGTAAAGAACCTCTTAAAAAAAAATCCTTCTGGACTGTATAGAAACAGTCTTAATCATTCACCTAATTAATTTCAGTGATATAGTTAGGGTTGTACATATTCTCATTCGTACATAGAGCAAATCGATCCAAAATTAGGTAATTAAAAATCTGATAGCCTTATACCTAAAAGGGTGAGGAGAAATCTTACAAAAGATTATATATTTGATGTGGGTGTTGATCCAACCCAGCATGATCATTGTCCGGTTTATTAAATATCTTGTCTTTTCCTATGAATCTTATACACGTGAGGGACCATAGCCTAGTGACAGAAGCGGAGCTTGAATAAAAAGATTGGAGTAGCCATCAAAATAATGCCATTGAATTGAAAGCTCTATTATGAAAAATCTTGTCATTCAAAATGAGGATTTTATTTATTTATTTATTTTAATTGTTAAACGGGCCTAAAGAAAATAAACTACACAGTAAAAAAAATTAGGTATTAATAGCCCCCGACATTATCCCCGTGATTCTCCACCATTGTTTAGTGACCACCGACATCTAAAACTATTATAATCTATTTGAATAATTTAAATAAAAAAAAACACACACTTTAAAGAGAATTTTTTTTTTTTTTCATAAATTACACTTAATCATAAGTAACAAATAAGATTTTAAAAAACTCCAAGCGTGTGGTTTAACGGTAGGGGTTGATCTACGCTTAAACAAAGTCAGGAGTTCGAATCTTGACTTGTGTATGCGGCCGCGTTAAATTTTAGGGCCAGCTATCTCACCCTTCACTGTTATCGACGGTGGATACTCAAGGGAGGAAAAAAAAAAGATTTTACAAAATACTAAACTTATGTATAAGTTAATTTGAATTTATAAAAGAAATTATTTCACTTTTTCTACAATTTTTTTTTTTACTTTTGAAAGAATTTATCTGAAATTACCGCAGTGAGACTCTGGCTGCTTAGAGAGGAAACTAAATTAAATCCTGACAATATCAAACTAAGGACGAAGAGGACATTACCATTGGACCTCTATAATTAATAGCAGAATTAATTACTAAGAGGATATATTTAAACCTTCACATTTTTACATAATTGATTGTTGGAGTGCATTACACGTTTAGGAGTGGGGCAAAATAATCTCTGCCAACCAATACTCTCAAAACGATTATTAGCATTATTATCTATGTTAGAAAGGAGGGAAAGGTTAGAATCCCAAATTTTAGAAAGAAAAATGCTGTATGAATATCTTTCTCGTCAAAACATTAAGAAGCATTTGATTGGTTAAGAATGTACGTATAAGAAGGGTATGAGTTAATGTAAAAAATTAATAAGGACCCATGTATGATTAATGTTTATTACTTTGTACTTCATTTCGTAACGACCAGTTCGTACTAAATAACACTACTGTTTCAAAAATACATAAAGGCTTGAAAAGTTTCTGATAGAATTCCCTCACATGCAAGTAGGAATAATTAATAAGATTAGATTGGTTTACTCGTACAATAGACAAATAATGATGATTGTAATGAGAATTGGTTCTTATATTTCTAATTATTTCAGTCTTTTCTCATTTAATTACTAGGCTGATCTTTTTATTTATTATAATAATTATTATATAAGTTGAGATGAAAATTATGGTTAAAGTAACATCATAATTTTTTTTTAAAAAAACTTACAATTTAAATTTTTTTCTATTTTATCATCATAAATTAACCTAATTACTTTTTATTAAATAATATAACTATCGTGCACTTTTTAAATATAACTAATGCAATTAATTGATACTCATTTTATTTTATTGTAATTTTTCTTATACTTTGAAAATTCAATAAATATAATTAATGCATTGATTCTATATTGTGACCACATGAACTTAATAAGTTCATGTCACTCACATGGAAATAGGAATGTCAATTAGACGAGATCAGTACAAGTAGTATCTCTTCTCTATTATTCTATCAGATAAATATTTGTCTCATATTTATCTTTATATTCATGTGAATATTCATTTAATGGATATTTAAATATATTTTTTTAATATCAATAAGCATCCATGAATATTTGCTTAAAAATATAAGTATTTTTTTAAAATAATTTTTTTTATTTTAATAATTTCTTTAAAAATAATAGTTTAAAAGTCAAAATTGAAATTATTCAAATATTATACATAATTTTATTAATCAAAGTTTCAAAATTAAAAACTAAATTTAATTATTAAAGTACATCATTCTCATATGTTTAAACAAATTTAATAAGTTAAAATAATTCAACTTAACAAGTCCAAATTTTTAAAAAAAATTATAATATTTCAATATCACAAGTCTAAATATAAAAAGAATTAAGTAATATCATATTTTTACTTAACACATAATATATTTTAACAAAGAAATTTAAGTAATTTTATTATAACGGATATTTACCGATTATTCCTAAGTACTTTGATATTCATTCTTGTCCCTGTTTATTAACGGGTACGAATATATCAATTTAAATCTTTATAGGTACCCATTTAAGTATTCATCTATTATTTGTTGTGTATTTTATCTACGAATATTTGTAGATACAAATTTTTTTGTGATCTTTACATGAAAACAACGTTATAAATACATTAACGGTAAAGACTAAAAATGATTAAAAGTTTTATAAGTATAACGACTAAAAACAAATATATTTTAAACAATAGGGACTAAAAAGTAAAATTAGTAAAATTATAAAGACTAAAACAAATATCTTAACCTATTTTTTTCCAATAAATATAACATGTATTTACAATAAATTAGCAAATGCACTCATTTACATGATACATAACTAGATTTCTTATTAATATATTTCATAATAAATAAATGATATAAAAAAAAAAATTAACAATCAATACACCTTAAAAATAAGTTCACGTTTCTTATAATTAGGAAAGAAAAAAGAGTACTCACTTGTTTCTCATCCTCTTTGTCTCAAAATGGTTGATTTCAAGGTTTTTATACTTAAATTAAGAACACCAATAAATATATTATTTTTTTAATATAATTTCATTAAAATAGTTTCATTCTCTCAATTATGTACTCTTCTATTAGTCTGTTTTCTTGTATAAGCAATAAAAAATATATTTTTTTCTTAAATATAAATAATTTTTAACTACTTTTACTTTATTTAATAAAATCACCCCTTTAATAAAAATTTGACTCAAAAATGATCTTTTAATGTAGTTAAAAAGAAAATTTAAGAAGAATATTGTAGAATTAGTAAAATTTAATGCACTTAAACTATTTTTTTAATCTATAAAATCATTTTTTATGGCTTATGTATAAGTGAGAATAAAGAAAGTATTACTTTTAATTGTAGAGATTGAAAAATTTATGAAGAAATAAATTAAAAAAATAAAATTAATATTACATTAAAAATTGAGAATATTAATTATTTTGAGATTTTTTAAAAAAAACCTAAAATTACAACTATTTTAAGATGGAAGGAACATATAAAGTACTGATAGGAGTATATTTTTTTTATTCTCTTATTTTTTAATTGCTGACAGAATAAACTCAGAAAAAGAAATAATTTTCACTAAAAAAATATTATAATTTTCTTTATCGTCAGTCTTTCACGATTTTATGAATTTTATTTAAAATTAACTACAAATTTCATTAGTTATATTAAATTATAGATTAAAAGCTTAATTATACTTTAATTATATCACTAATCTTGTGGAGAAAAGAGAGAGTAAACAGGACATAAGATATTTTTATATTAGTTTATCTTAATTACTGAGACTATGTCTAGTTTTCAATCTAACCATATTGAGTTTCATTATCTTAATAAAGATACAAATAT